CGTTTTTGCAATACTTGGACGGCGTTATTGAAATAGCAGCATCCAGTTTAATGGGGACATGGATGAAAAATATGGTAACCATATTTCTGGATTTCTTTTCTATGACTTATGCTGAAGCAGGAGTGGCTATGGCTAATGGGTAGGGAGTACAAAGAGAGAGAGGAAGGGAGGCTGTACTCTGGCTTTTCCTCTAATGGTGATATGGGCTAATGTGAACCAAGTGAATAATTATATGGTCCCTTGGTCACCTATTATAATCCATTTACTAACATTATATGTGAGAACGAGAAGCTGGAGGCAACTCAGGGGCTTGATGCAAGACTACATGCTGATTGGTTAACGCTCGCTTATAGCCCCTTTGTATCCCCTTGTCTATTTACCCCAGTGCTTTAAAAGAAAATGAGGAAGCAGGCAACATATTGGCTCAATGCAGGACTAATATCATCAACATGGCATCAATAGCAAAGAATGCGGGCATGAAATATTTACTTCATAGCATTGTTATCTATTAAGGTACAATGACCTATCAGTAGCATTGGGAAACTGTGGTATGAATGTTAGTAATATTTATTGAGTTTAAAATCAATCTTGCAGTATAGTCAGTAACTGTAATGTTAACACAAGATCAGTGAATGCAAATAAGTTCTGTTATTGATCCAGTTTAATATTACCACTGTCTTGTATTCATTTTATCATATTTGATCATGCTGCGAACAAGAGACAACATACGTCGTCAAATGCTGAATTGTTTTACTTTCCCATTAAGGTATAGCCGTAAAACATTCATGGACTCCTAGATATAATTCAATAAGGACCTCTAAATTCGAGAATTCAAATCATTTTTAGCTTATTGGAAGGTCTCTTGAGAATACCTGTCGACTTTATTGGTCTGCCTTTGGTGAAAATTGGCTGAATTTGCGTCATGTATTTCTGCCTTCCTTTGCACACCATGAGCCCGTCTACCCATTTTGCATAATGATGCTTAAAATATTAAATCAGGAATATTACTTACAATCTTGATAGAATTAATGATTTTGTGAATAAACGGCAGAATTGATGATTTTTTATCAAATACTGGATTAATGTACATGTAATTTTGTTATATGAGATGAAACAATGTAAATGTAAGTTCTAATTACTCAGATGCGAGTAGGTAGTTACCAGTTTCGCCACCAGGTGGCTGATTCGGGGGAATTAACATGGCAGGGTATCACAAAATTCCCTTAAACTTGAATATGCATCAGTTTTAATGGTTCACTTTTCATATTACCTTTATGTATCTGATAGTTATACAAATTAAAATATGTCCAGTAAAAGAAAATTTTATCTGCCCAACACAAGAAAAGATATTTCACTTTTTGTGGTTTTACAACATGGGCTCTATGGGGAATCTCCCCGACCTAGAAGTCACATTTTCAAAGAAAATTAAATTTTCAAAGTTGATAAACTCTTTTCAAAACCACATTTCTAAATGTAATTTTACATTTAGATTCCAAATATGACATCAGTTTGACTGAATTGTGAATTTTTAATTGTGTAAATCAAGATTATTTCTATTCGCATCTGGGATATTGGCACAAAACTTATGTTTCGAGACTTTCCGTTTTAATGTCTCTTTTAATTTCTTTCGACCATTTTACGATCTACATTGCTAAATAAGTTAAGAGCTGATTGCAGCACAACATACCACTGTTGGAGAGTTGATGATTTAATACGACATTGAGGAGAAGTTGTGCCTTTAAATTAATTTGATGGATCTCTCTTTAGTCAGATGTATTAGGCCATACCATTCGTTATCTGTCTTTCTATCAAATTATCATTTTAGGTTTGGGGTTTATATATAAGAGATCTTTAACATCAGATGAAGTGTTATAGCTTTGGCTCAAATGCACATTTGGAAGGACATCTACTTCATGTCCTGGCTTTGTTATATTTACACATGAATGTGATGAATTGATTTGTTGACTTTTCTATATTATAACAATTAAATGATTTTTGAATGTTTATTTTCAAGAAAGGGATCAATATAATTATTCCGGAGAATTGTCAGTTAGAAATAAACTTCACATTTGGGCAATGTTAAATAAATCAGAAGTAAGTCTCCTTAAGTGATATAAGATAAGTTTGTTTCCCTTTAAGTTATGATATATTGAAATGAATTAAATATGAAAATATGAAAAATTATTCAAGATGCAGGGGTTGTAAATGAAGACATTTTGTTCAAACAATAAAAGCTTTCCAATAACTAGAATGGTTGCACATTCATAGATTCTGCCCACTTCTTCCTGTACTTTCATATCAAACCTGTTACACACTCGCTGGGAACATGTTTATTAGAACCAAGAATGTTAAGAATTGTCTAAAGAGTGACGTCAACGTGTAATACAATTTATGTAATTTTCACAGTTTAGAATTATACACCTATGACATTATCAACAGTGTAGCTTGTCTCGGTTAGCTTAGGATTATATATTAGAGTGTCATCGAGGCATCAATCGGCAATGAATCAAATCTGTTAGCTATTACGTCTCTCGTTTAGATTGATATACGATGGGAAGTCCATCTTTGAATTGTCTTAGCTTTTACGCAAGTGTTTCTTATCTGTTTTCGATTTTGTAGATTAGTTCCATTGTACTATTGTTAACAATCCTGGTCCCATGAATGCTCCCAACTGCTCCAAATGGTTCACTATTATTCTCCACACAGTTGATAGCCAATGTTCCCTACTGTCCGTATTGTTTTTCTGTTTTTCTGTCTGTTTCAAAGAAATTGTCCAATAACTAAATAAACCAGACGTGTAAATCAGCACAGACAGGAAAAATACAAGGGAAGTTCATGTTATGATGTGAATCTTTCGAAAATATGATATGCGATGTTTTATTTCAGAGAACTTGTGTGTTGTCTATCTAATGATGTAATTACATCAGTTTCATCCATAAGCCACAGTGACAGCTTCGAGCAGTAATTTAAGAGTCTTGAATTATGCATAATTAAATCATAACTTCTGAAAATAAAACTTAATAAAAGTTAATTTTGTAATCGATGACATTGAAATATTTATATGCCAAATGCAGATCTATTTTTACCCTTATTGCATTTATTTGACTTTGGCTTCTTAAAAGAGAGCTTCGCCTCCGCTCTTTCAGTTTAAAATAACTCTCAGAACTCACTGAGCCTATCAGAGTTTGTCATCAAATTAAGGACGACTTTCTATTTTAAGTAATTTCCTCCGACATCATCGCATAGTTAATGAGCATGCATCTAGCACGTGTTCCTTCCAGCTTGCTGATCGGTTTAGAAAAGGTCAATGCGGTAGGTTTCTTGAACTGGGGTGTCACAGGCAACGGTCTTAGGGGCAGGCTGCTAAACTATAATGTGGTCTATACTAGGCAGAGGGTAGTTATCAACTATACTCTGCATGCAAGATAATCTATTCTTCATATTATTTATTCAAAACTTGCTCTAACTTCTGATTAAAGTTGAATGATTTCAAGTTTGAAAAAAAGAGCTTCATCTGCAACCTAATGTGGTAGGCCCTTAGCCTCATTCAGGTCTATATAATATGGGAATTAGTCAACTGGAGAAATGTTGAGCTTTAGATCCCCATGTTTCATCTGATTTTGTTACATGTACTTATATATTATAACAATATCTTGTATATACATGTAATATATAACATGTAGCTAGGGATTATACTTGGGATTGTTCAAAAGTGTTTCAGTATTTGTACCTCAATTTTAGCTTGTATTGGTGAATGCAACTTTCAGCTGTCGGCTACTGGATTGACCTACTATTTTGTGGGCAACTAATATAAATATGGATAGTACCTGCCACTATTCCATATTTAAATGAGTTGGTCATAAAATAGTAGGTTGATCTGGTAGCCGAAAGTTGCATTAGCGAATATAAGCTAAATCTAGGGATTAATCTGATATTACTAAACGAAACAATATCATAACATAGTTATTATAAATGGGTGTTATTACAATACTTCTTGATAAATTCATGTTTTCTTGAGATGTCCCGTTGCTCAATTACTGGTGACTTAAAAATACTATCTGACTTAAGGATATCATCCGTTTTAACTTATTGATAGTCTATTACTGATATCGGCTGACCAATTTTCATTTTCCGTTATATAACCTAGACAAGATGGTATCTCATTTATCGGAGCTTTTGACAATCAATGACCGATGCAGGAAAGTATGATATCTTGGAACTAAAATGTGTCAGTGATGTGTTAATATGATAATATTAGTCAGAATAGACAGGAATGAGCACAGGAAATGTATTAAAGATTAAGGAACTTCTTTAACTGAACATTACAATTAAAGAACTAATAGAGTGAATGATAAACCTATTTCATATCTCATGAAAATATATAAATGAATGCACATGTAGTTTCAGATTTTATAAGCTATTTTACATAATCGTGACATTATTATACGGGTTTGTGATATAAAATCAGATATCATGACACACCATCAACACCTGAGGTATAGTAATGTGTAAACCACAGGAATCTGACAGAATAGTCTCTTGAGGTTACATTGTGCTTCATATATCAAATGATTCACATAACAAACTGTTTGTATATACACATATACACGATATGTATATGTTGTCAGTGTTAGATGTATTCTACAACAATATCAACAAAAGAGAATCCCAGGTGTCCTGGAATGATTTTTTTTTTACATTTTTAACACTTATTATTGATATTTGATATAGCTTTCTATTTCATTACATAGCCTGAATTTTATCCCCTCCATTCCCTAGCATTCATTCAATGGATTTCATTCTCCTTTCCCAGTCTTCATTCCCCCGTAGACTCAACAATGAAAATCTTTCTGTCGGTCTGTAATCCTAAATCAGGGTCGATTCATTATAAATTGTGGAGCTGAGTCATTTTTGGGTCGCTCTGTACTTACCTGGAAGTCATTGACACTTGTCTGTTCTGATTCTATTCTATTCTAATAAGCCTCTACCTTTACTTACAGATCACCAGAAACTTGAAAGAGAGGCTAGAATTTGCCGTCTGCTGAAGCACCCAAATATAGGTAAGTAGAATTTTTTATTTCAAACATCTTAATTCATTATTTCATTTTTAAGCCGAATTGTAATTATAACGCCTCAGTCACATTTGCATTATTGCAGCTGTATGGTGGCCGTAGCTTCACAAAAGTGATAAAGAAAATCTACATCGTACTGCTTATCCATGTATTTCAATCACAGAGATCACGGTAGACGTTCGCCATTCGCCAATTGCGAATTTTCGAAAGAGGTGGCGAAAAATATGTAAAGGTATTTCGCAGTTATGGCGAATTAGAGGTGTCACGGTTTCCCGATATTGGACCGAATTTCAGTCCAGATGCTTCGGTTCGGGACATGGGACAGAAAGGGTTAATATCGGTACATAGATTCCTTCACTAAAATGCATAAAAACGTGTATAAATAGCGAGGAACACCTCCGATTTCGTTCTGAAATATTTTCACTTACCTCGTACCTAGATTACACTTCTTTGCATTGAAAAGTGTTATTAATGGACCCGCGATTTCAGGTAGATGGTAATGCTTGTTCGTAAATTTCTTCATCGTCGTTCGCAAATCTAGTGCATTATCAGTATGCCGGATGTAGGAAAGAAATTGAAAAATCGAGCCGGCATCTAAGTCGAAAAAGTCGGCAGTTTGGAAGTATTTTGGGACTCCGATATCACAAGGTAAACGAATTGGTAATATTACACCGTGCAGACTATGTGAAATGCCGATCACATTCGCGGCAGATGCTTTACATTCAATTTTAATGGACGTTTTTTTATTCCTGAATATGATTTTGAAAAGTGAAACTGAAAGTGAAACTGTCATCATCAGACATTTCATCATTTTTAATGTTCTGTCCCGTCCCGTCCCGAAAGTAACGTGTTGAGACCATTTGTACCGTTCCGTACCGTACCGAAATTTTCTTGGACCGTGACACCTCTATTGCGAATTCCCTTTTTTACGGTTTTTCAAAATGGCTAATTCATATTTTGGTTGGCTAAAAATATTTTGGAAGATTTAGCCACAATGGCTAACACGTTTTTTCAACTATCGTGATCTCTGTCAATCATGCTGCATATTTCTCTTGATCTTCCGAAGCTACGGCCGTAGATCACATGTGACTGAGGCATCATTCTACGTGTATAAGGCAATAGCAGAGCTTATATAGCAATTTCGTTGGTTTGAGGGTTTTTCACTTCGTTCCATAGCTGCTGTATAGCATTGAAGCCCGATCTTGAAGGATGCTTCACAGGAGATAACAAATAAACATATATGTATAACAACAGGTGTTTCCTTGTACCAGTTACATTAAATAAACATAACAGCAATCTCACATATATATTGTGTCAAAACATGAATGTCTGTTTATTCTTCTTTCATCTATCCTTTTTTAAGGTAGTTCTACACAAGTTCTGAATTAAGATTTTGTACCTTATCATGAAAAAATTCACTTGGAAATATGAAAAATAACATGTTTCATTCACTATTAGTAATAATAATACACAACGGAAATCACAAAACAAATTCTCTACCTTAATGTTAGTCATACATAAATTACTCAAGAGCACATGTTGGTTCATGTGCCTTTGTTTTTGAATCATGATAAATGATGATGAGATATCTTGGGAATATAGATACAGAGACAAGAAGGAACATTTTTGAATGCAGTGACATTTACTTTTAAACGTAATCATGATCTGCTGCAAGATAATTGTCTTACTAGGATGTGATAGACTTTGTTAGATGCAAGTCAACTCTAATTCACTGATTAGGTGAGTTACCCTGTAAGAGGGCATCAGAACTGATGAAGTGGGTTACCCTGTAAGGGGGCATTGAAATGACAAAGTGATTTCAACCTGTAGGAGGGCATTGAACTAATAAAGTGGGCCTCCCTGTATTGAACTGATAAAGTGGGTTACCCTGTTGCATGAGTTGGTATATTAAACTGATAGGTTGAGCCACTCCATGGGAGGAGTTTGTTCTGATAAAGTGACCAACCAAGTTTGAGCAGATAAAGTCGATCACCCTGTACGAGATATTTGCACATGCTTATATAAACATGCTAACAAACTACTAATAATTATGAAAAATGATATTTCAACAGTTAAGATATTAAAAATCTCAAAGCAATATTCATTTCCTGTTGCCTATACCTATCATTTTTAGTAGTGTCATTTTGATTTTTTCTCTTGAAGTTAAATATGTTATCAAACCAGGAAATTTCCTGTTTACCATATGTTATATGGCGCTTCATCACCAGTTTTGAAATGTGACAATTTTGCCATGTTGCCATAGGTAACATTACCAGAATTTGATTAAAGCCATTTCCCTTCTTCCTGTTTACAAGGTGATATGAAACCTCCAGTGTTGAAAGATGTAGGTCTTTAGGGACCGGGTCAATATCTCAATGTTGTCATAAAATGTTATCATTTCATTTCAGACTCCCTTCATTCTCAAAAGCATAATCAAACATTCGTCAATTTATTTCAATTTAAGGAATTTCTTCCAAAATTGATAACAGCAAATTATATTGGACTTTATTTGAATGATTTTTTCTTATTGAAAGAGTAAAGATGAAGTTCTTTTTTAAAGACACAACATCATATCTATTGCAACAGGCATTTCTTATGAGTCAATTAAAATACTCATAGCAATATTTAGTTATTAGTTATTTCCTACCATAAGGAAGAAAGAGATTAGGTTTATATGATTGCATAAAATGTTTTTGCATATAAATACATCTACTACAGTATTGCATGCGGGAAGATGCAGTATCTAAATCCGCTTCCTCCGTTTTCTTCAACCGCAAAACAGTGAGAAAGAATATTGGCATTTTCATTTGGAATGAGAAATACGCCTAATTATATTACAGGGTCTGCAATCTTGTCTCATTTGCGATTTTTCTCAAGTCAATTAACTGGAAGAGGAAGGCTAATGTTATTTGAAGAGTGCGAACACTAAGATGGGATTTTTTTCCAATTTACGCTCATTTATCGTTTTTGTAACCCATCAAACATGCAGATACATCATTTGGTTTCAATTTTAATGAACTATCTCTAATGATTTCTGTGTTGTTGTTTGTAGATTTGTATTTGATGATGTCATTTACGTCATGTCTTAAAATTTAGTTTATGTTCTTTTTTGAACCATAAGCGTAACCTCCCACTCAAATTATATACTTCAACATTTTATGTTAAAACAAAAGAATGTGAAGTTGGAAAGATGAATTTGTTAGAAATACACTTATTGTTCATTGACTCTTCCTCAATGTAGAGAATTTATGCAATGGTATAATTCTTGGTTATCCTCATTATATTACACATCCCTTTTTAAATGGCCTTTCAATCCCATTTCCACAGCAACATCAGCATCTTTTGGCAAAATAAATTTCAGATTCTTAAACCAAAGGACATTGGCTTTGATTTGAATGTCCTCATATCCCTCCACATACTAAATTAACGATTTCAAATTTGCTTTTTGAAAAATGCACCTTTTATCACAATATTTGTAATTAGAGGATGAGAAACATTCTATACTTTATCTCAGCCTAACATTTCGAGATAATTCTCTTAGATCTTGTTCTTATTACTTGAAATCCAATCACTTTTTTCATTTTCACAATTTAGTCTATGATTATATTGAAAGTGTATCCATTTCCAGACGCATTAACAGGGCCGTTGCCATTAGGAATGACCATTAGCTAAACCTGAGATGTAAAATATTACATTCATTACTGGTTTATCCATATCTCTGTGACATTGAAGTAAGATAATGAATGCTTCTCTACCCCTGCACCATATCAGAGGGTTTACCCGAGGGTATCCTGGTGTGCATTTGTCATTTTCTTGCTCAGTATACATCATAGCATAATACAACAGTGCAATACTGCAGTATAACATCATAGCATTATACAACAGTGCAACACTGCAGTATAACATCATGGCATAATACAACAGTACAACACTGCAGTATAACATCATAGCATGATATAACAGTGCAACACTGTAGTATAACACCATAGCATAATACAGCAGTGCAACACTGCAGTAAAACATCATGGCATAATACAACAGTGCAATACTGCAGTATAACATCATAGCATAATACAACAGTGCAACACTGCAGTATAACATCATAGCATAATACAGCAGTGCAACACTGCAGTAAAACATCATGGCATAATACAACAGTGCAATACTGCAGTATAACATCATAGCATAATACAACAGTGCAACACTGCAGTATAACATCATAGCATAATACAACAGTGCAACACTGCAGTATAACACCATAGCATAATACAGCAGTGCAACACTGCAGTAAAACATCATGGCATAATACAACAGTGCAATAATGCAGTATAACATATAGCATAATACAACAGTGCAACACTACAGTATAACATCATATAGCATAATACAACAGTGCAACACTGCAGTATAACATCATATTGCATAATACAACAGTGCAACACTGCAGTATGACATCATAGCATAATACAACAGCATCAAACAACAGTTTGGCCAAAGATATTGCACTAATGAGAAAATACCTTTCTTTCTCAAGAGGCTTTTAGAAAGTCATATTAGCACATGGAATATCACATTACATACAACAGGTATATATATTTGTAATAGAATGAAATATTTGTTTTAATATTTCACATCACATGGTGCTGTACCGTTCTCTCTCTTTCTGACATGCAGTGTCACACACTCTTGATATAAGGGACTCTTAGAAAGTGTAATCACTAAAAATGGAAAATTCCTGGAATCAGGATTTCTATGAAATACAATATCTATAATTAGACACTACTTTCATATCAGATGTGCATGCATATTGAATACCACCTGATATTTTAATCATATAACCCAGGTTAAAAGTGCAAGCATGACAGTGATATTATAACAACGATTCTACGACTACTGCGTGTAAATCTCATTGACTTGATTTTTGGACTTTTCATCAATCTTGTCTGATTATATCAGCTTTGTTCTGGGCTTCTATATTAGAGGATTAT